AAGTCCGTTCTATGTTACTGGCGAATCATATGCTGGTAAATATGTACCGGCTATCGTATACAAAATTCATTTAGAAAACCCACAGGCAAAGATCAAGATCAATCTAAAGGGAATGGCAATTGGAGACGGATTGATCGATCCAATCAATGAATGGGATTACGGACCGCTCATGTACCAGCTAGGATTAATTGACGAGAGACAATTGTCGTATGTTAATTTACAAACAGCTCTAGCACGATTCCAAATTGAATCACAAAATTATACTGCTGCCTATATGTTATTCGGTTACATAATAGGAGAGTATTATACTAATGTCACTGGATTACAAAACATATACAACTATCTGCTAGCGCAGGAACCCGAAGAGCTTGGCTATTATGTTCCATGGGTAACAGCAGAAGATTCTCGACGACGACTTCATGTTGGTAATTTAACCTACAATAATGGTGAAAAGGTTGAACAAGCCTTGATAAATGATATAATGCAGTCCATTGTTGATAAAGTTGTCGTTATTGCGAATAATTACAAAGTTATGATTTATAATGGTTTATTAGACATTATTATTGGTGAGCCATTAACTCAGAGTTGGATCAATAAATTCGAGTTTCAGTATACTGATGAGCTAAGAAAAGCTGAACGTCACATTTGGAAAGTTGATCCAAATGATGAAGAAGTTGCTGGATATGTTAAGCGTGCACATGATTTCTATTACGCAACAGTTAGAAACGCAGGACATATGGTACCGCATGATCAACCACGAGCTACATTCGATTTAATTGATCGATTCGTCAACGATAATTTTTAGAGCTACGCGAAAAATTGTTTTTAAAGATTTTTGAGAATAAATACTCTTTCTAAATTATAGTATTAAACAATATTGTGACGTTTCAACTTCGAGGATGTCTTCAACAGACACGCTATGTACACAAGTGAAGCAGTATGTACTGATATATAGGGTATCGGAAATTCAAAGTTCGAGTAAACAACTTCTTCTATATTTTCTGTCATAAAACTTATTATTATTTGTTATTCTTCGTTTTACAAGTGTTAAAATAAAGTTCTGTTTTGTTGTCTGCTTCGGTTGCCTTTAATTATTTTTTCTTATCAAAAGCAATTTTTATTATGAATGTTGGATTGAGCAAGACCAATTTTGGCACCCGCTCTGTTTTGCTCTCTAGAAGCCTACCCTATTGAGAACACTGTGGACAATCGTTCAGTGACTGAAAAGCGAAGCTTATATAGATGGCGTGGATGAATAGTTCAATAAATCATTGAAAATAGACAAAAAAATAACTGAATATTTCTGTAGATGTTATTACGTATCTATAGACTAATATTAAAATCAATTAAATATTTTTCCACCTTATTGAAATATTAGTCCGTTCAATAATTTTCTTTGTTTAAATATTTTTTCTTTATTTTAAAATAATTAAATATTTTCTATCTTACAACAAGACAAATATTTATTAGTATAGATATAAAAGTATTTAATTGATTTTTAATATTAATCGTTTAGTATTTTTCTTTTCAACATTTTTCGGTATACCCGTTATTACAGTTTTGCCCATTCAATGTATCATTTACTTTCTTTCGTGCACTTTTATTATTTCTTATCTATATTTGACATTGTCATTTACCGTTTATTTTTTATTTGTCAAAAAATGATTTATGTCGTGTCATAAAACAAGAAAAGTATACTGTTATTGTTGCTTGTTGAAGGTTATAATACATTTACTTGAAAAGTAAGTAATGATAGAAAAGAGCGTCAAAAAACAGGAAAACAAAGGAAAATTATTATCAATTTAATTTTTTGGTAGCTCAACAGAATAACATGGGACTTAGCGCTGTTGTCCCGAGTGAAGATAACATAAGAAAAAATTTGATGATAAAATTAAAACCAAAGGAGATGTCACCTTCCTCGGTTTTCCGCCTGTTACTAGCAAAAATTAAAACCCGTATATCTCGATCAAATCTCATGCTGACTCAAGGAAATTTTCAGAAAACGCCCAGGACAGCTCATAAAACATAATCGAAGACGAAAAAGGTGAATGTCAGCTGGATATTGGCTTAAAGTTTTCCAGAAATCTTCTGGAAAACCTCAGAGCACCAGTGTTCTGCTGGACCACTTTTTCGGGGTGGTCAACAACATATGGCACCTTTTAAGTCTTTCCTGAAAATTTCCTTGAGTCGGCATGAGATTTGATCGAGATATAAGGGTTTTAATTTTTGCTAGTAACAGGCGAAAAACCGGTTTTTCACAACAATGCCTCTGGCGAAGTTATATTCATTTCTACACAAAAACAAATGTTGCTACTATGCTCAGCGTAGTCGATTACCTATAGTCCATGGCATTTTGAGATTCCCAGAGATGTCTGCTCGGAGATAGACACGTGCTCGGGGAAAGCGAGCCCTGCCCGAACGACGATAGCTAGAGAGCCGCGACTGGCATAATTTTGTAGAGCAACGTCCGAACTATCTACGCATACAAAAACATTACTAACATTGTATGTAATTTTTCTGAGAACGGAGCTGGTTTTCCAAAGATCCTCTAAAAACCCGATCTCTGGAATTTTTTCAAAAGTTGCTTCCGCTTGTGAAAAGTTCTACTCAAGTCTTGGCTATTGAGCAGCAGAAATCGCAGGTCTCTATCTCATTCCTATCAAAAGTTATTCAAAAAATGCCCACGGGTCTTGTATTTTGGGACGGATAATATTAAAGTACAAAATAATGAATGCGATTATTTTCTTTTTTTAACCGTTATAAAATGCTACTAAATATATTTTTTATGTTATATTTATACGTACAAGCTGATCAAAACAGGTACAACTATTTGCCCACTACCGGACCGGTCCGAGGTGAAACGGCCCGTTGATAAGTTTTGACTGGAACCGGATGGCCTGCCTGGTCGTCCCGCCCCGTTGCATCTCTTCCTCAGCTCCCTAGTACTTAAGCTGACTGAGAATTTTGAGAAACCGTAACTGCTACCTGTTGTGACGACATCTCCGAACGAAGATAGGTAGAGCCAAACAGAAATTTTGACAGTTTTTGATGCCCGGCAAAAATCCATCATTGTTTATTCATTACAGATACACTTATATGTGTGATCATGTTTCTTCTACTAATTGGTTTGGTTGTTGTCTCATATACAACTTATAAACTATATCAATATTGCTTTCCTGCACTATGGATCAACCCAAATAATAAACATGTATTAGTAAGTGGGTGTGATACCGGGTTTGGTAATTGTCTTGCATTAGAATTAGATAAGCAGAATTACAATGTATTTGCAGGCGTATATAAAGATGAATCAGTTAAAACATTAACTGCAAAACTTTCATCAAAAGCAACCGTATTCAAATTAGATATAACAAAGCAACAGGATATTGATGCAGCTGTTGAGTTAGTCAGACAAAAAACGCAATATTTATACGGACTAGTTAATAATGCCGGTATTATTAAAGGTGGACTCATTGACTGGCTTCCATTGTCACAATATCGTGAAGTTATGGAAGTGAACTTCTTCGGCCATGTTGCTATGACAAAAGCATTTTTACCTCTGTTACTAAAACAATCTGACAGCCGCGTAGTAAACTTATGTTCTGTTGCTGGTTTTCTACTTGGTCCTGCTCTATCGGCTTACGGTGCAAGTAAATTTGCGTTAGAAGCATTTTCGGATTGTTTACGGCGTGAAATGTCTGTATGGGGTTTGAAGGTTTCAGTTATTGAACCAGGTATTATGCGTACACCACTTATAGATGGTCAAAAAGAAGCACAAGAACAATTGTGGGCTGAGTTGCCAGATGATGTCAAAGAAAGATGGGGTGATTCATTTCTTGAACATTTTATATCGACACAGATAGACAGTGTATTTAGTAAACATGCGGAAAATCCAATGAAAGTCGTACAATCAATTCAACATGCCCTGTCGAGTACAAGACCTTGCACTCGATATCGTCCTGGTTGGCAATCACGATTCTTTTTTCTGGTATCGATATTGCCTGCATGGATTTGTGACATACTATTGAAACTGAAATATAGACAAGGGGCTGAGTCAGGTAGCATTCGCAGACAATAAAGTGCTTTTAATTATACACGCTAGTTTAACATTTTCTCATATACTCTCGCTCCGGCCGTTAGTGGATCCTCTAATGGCCGAAGGGAGAGATGTAAAATATTTTATCAAAACTGAATATGAATTGTTCTATAACGCAACACGGGCTACAATACTAGAAGAATCTTAGCTTGTCGACATAAACTTCTGTTAACGATGAACAGACCTGCATGGAAGTACCCAGTTGTTAGTATAGAGATCCCACTCAACGTTGAGGCACTCCATTGCACTTATTTACAGGTTTTTCGTAAGCCTCATGACACAGTTCAGGTAAGGTTTGAAGATCATAAATGAGATTCCACGATTCGATAAGAGTCAGATTATTGAGAAAAAAAGCTGTATCCAATAAGAATAAAATTTTTCTAAAAGTACATTTACCTGTTAGTGGAAAAAACAAACTTGAGTCCACATATGAACAACCATTTATGGTGTTTACGAATATATCCTAACGAAAATAACTTCTCTCTGTTATTTCTCTTCTCTATCGCCAAGATAGGTTAGCAATGACATCAGCACGGACTCATGAGTCTTTCTTTGCTTTACGACGCGTTTGATAGAAAAATAGTACCTTGTTTTCGAGCTCTTAGCCGGGTGTTAATGGTCCAAATACAATACATCTTCCACGATAGAGGGAAGTAGCACAAATCCGAATCATAGAAGTGCAATAATCTCCTTTTTAAATACGTAACAACATAGTAGTCTAACTGGTCCTCTTCACGTAGGTCGAAAACGTTATCCACAAAAATTAGCTAACATTTAATTATTCAAAAACTTTTTTGCTAATAATGTCGAATTTGTTTATTTTGTGAAATATTTTTTACAAAAAATTTTAATTATTATAAATTCTGATAGACAGACAAAAGGCAGCACTGGCATCAGCATTAATCATCTAATATCCATTAAAAATACCTAACAACAATAATGATGCTTCTCATTTTTTATTAATAATAATGTTTTTACAAAAACGTTTAAAACCAGCTTAGCTACTAACATGGGCAACCACATGTGTCAATTAATTTCGTTTTTAATGCGTATAAAAGTAATCTTTTTTGCGCATTCACTTAGCCGGATGTAGCATAGTTTGTGATGAGATAAGACTGCTGTTTTCTTTTCAGAATCCATTTTTTTAAATACGCTTTTAATGGTTAAACAGACGCAAAGATACATTTACTTCATCAAAACTTGTTCGTTTGTAAGTTCTCGTAAGTTCTCGTTGATTTTCAGCTTAACCCTGCATAGACGAACCTACAGTTCATATGGTGTAATGATCCAAGAACGGCGCATAATGAATTTTCATCAACAAAAAGGAGGCATTCCTCTTGTTTGGAATCTTCATGTTCTTCTACCGCATCAACAAATCCATCATCAGCGGCTAATCCACTAAGACAAAGTGTAAATAAAATATGAAAACAACACCTTGCATTACCATCTGCCGCTATATACAACAAAATCACGTGCATGCACACCAAAACATATCAATCTACCTCGCTCCTACTCTGGGATCAATTAAAGGGATGGACACATTAGAAGATCCCGGGATCTTCTAATGTGTCCTATAGTTCACAAATTTCACGGGGGTCTTCTATTGTATCCCTTAGAAAAGTCATATTTTTCGATACCCTCAGCAGTAAAACACGCAGTTCAAAATCGCAGTAGTTTTTTTTTACACAAGAAAAACTGTTAATTTCACTCTTGTAGGACAACAAATAAAGAAAAAAATACATTTACTTATTTCTCCACATATCTTTCAAAGGTAACTGTTTATTTTGATTTTTAATTACAACCTTAATGAAACTTCTTGTAACCGGGATCTTGACTTTTCAACTTTTTCAGCAAGATCTTGATTAAGAAAATATAAGAATTCAAGGAATTTCAAGAATTCAAGATCTTGAACATCCCGCAATCGCTTGACTCCTTGTACCAGTACCTTAGAATTTCTTGAATTTTTTTTTTGTTTTTATACTCGTGTGTAAATATGATTACGGATATATTCGCACTTAGAATAACTGCGATTTTTTTTCCTACTTGAACATAGTTTTTCAAGGAAGAATCTATGATTAGTATGGTCGTATATCCGATGGTGATGACTGTCATAAATAAAAAAAAATATGTGAAGAAAATTTTTCACGCAAGCTCTTGCAACATCTTGAGTGGATTCACTGAAGATCTGGAAATTTCTATTCCCAAAATGTTGAGTGAAAGATTCAAGAAACCAAGATCTGACTTCCTGGTGTTTTTCCATGATTTTGTGACATTTCTTAACCCAAGATGTTGAGTACAATAAGTTTCAATAAGTTTAACGTGTTCCAGCGAATCTGAATCACGCTTCTCATCAGGTACCTCTAACTGATCTGTATTATATATTGATTTTCATCGACTGCCTTCCTCAGGTATGAAGAGTTGCAGGTATGAAGAGTTGCACGTCTGCCGGTAGTCTTTCTAGATGACGTCTTATAAGTTCAATCAATTCATTTCGATGATCAGCGACTAGAGGACATATAAAGTCAGTCGATACATGTTGGCCTCCACAATTGTGACAGCAAATTGCACATTCTTTATGTTGTTGTATATTAGATCGATCACCATCGCATCTTCGACAAATGTCAAAGGCAGAATTTTGACAGTTCTTCTTCACATGTCCCGGTTTATTACATCTTCCACAGATAAGTATTTTTGGAGAAGGAAGATATTCGTCCACGTCGTAGTTGTCCTTGTAAATTAATCTTACTATCTATTTCATTCTTTTGAAGGAATTTAATTTTCACATGTGTTCATTCGTTGCTCCTGACATAGAATCAATTGCAAATACACTTTCGAAACGAGAGTTCAATTCATCTTTTACATCGTCATTGGTAACCGAATTTTTGACATATTTTATTAAAACAATGTGTTGTGGTGGAAGATGGGCGGGTAGATGAGGAATGATTGTAATATTATTTAATGTTTAGGTAATCTCTCTTGTTAGCATAAATAAACATATAATTCTGTTGTTTTAATTATCATTTGGACATTTCCTTGAGGATCAGTCCACCATAAATCTACCAATAGTGGTTTTGAAAACATTGAATTTTGAGTTATAAAATCTGTTTTAATGTATCTAATCAAATCATTTATTAATTTTACTCCATCTTTCTAATCATTTAATTTCGGTTGACATTCTTTGAAAGGTGCATAGTGGTATTCAGCTACATAGTTTATTGTGTGATTTGATAGATGTATACGATTTTCATTATTATTATTATTTTGTTGTTGTCTTGCGTTATTTATATTTCGTTGCTGTTTAATTTGTGAGTGATTTGAGTTGATAAATGTTCTTGGATGATCGTCCTTACTCTTCATTTGTTTATTATTAGATACATGTCTCCACTCTCTATTCTCTCTTTCATCCTCATCAAGTAATCTTGGAAGTTCACTTCCGTTTCATTGTATGAGACGAATGCTGTTGTTGTGGTTGTTGATTTTTTTGTTGAATTCGAGTCGAATTTGCTGCCATGGTTCCACCATCCGCTAGCTGATCTTTCTGTGCACTTGTCATTGTATTATCCTGATTATAATTCATAACTTTACGTAATTTTCAGTACCTCAAAATTTGACCTCTTTGACCTCTTGATTTTGGTATGTATAATTTTGCAGAAAGAAAGAAAATAGACAAAACGCCTGTACGTAGTATATACGCACAGGTTGATTATAGTAAGCAAGAGGAAGAACAGAATAGATATTGAATGTACTGTGAAAAATGTAAAACTGACTTAACCTTAACTAAGCCTGGCAGCCGCCATTGTGAATCAAATACTAGTTTTTTTCCACAGGTTGCCGCTATGTTTCCGCTACTGCCGGTCTCTTTTTCCCATGGAACTAAAGATGATCCCTAATCATTTATACCATTTGATGCGCCTTGACGAGCTCTGCAATATGTGTTCATAGCAAACTTAACGACACTTGGCAGCAGCAATTGTGAGCCAAATACTAGTTTTTTTCCACAGATCGCCGCTATGCCTCTGTAAGAATGATTAGGGATCACCTTTAGTTTCATAGAGAAAAGTGACCGACAGTTCGAGTAGCATAGCGGCGACCTATGAAAAAATCTGGTGTTTGATTCATAATGGTCGCGGTCAAGCTTCGTTAAGGTTCTTATTAACACATATTGTAGAGCTATTCAAGGTGCATCAAATGGTGTATAAATGATTAGGGATCATCTTTAGTTCCATAGGAAAAAGAGACCGGCAGTGGCGGAGGTATTCTTTTAGCAGGTGTTCCCCCTAAATACGTGGTGACATTACAACTGGTGTTCCCCATACAGCTATAGTGTTCCCCGTAGTATCATTATAGCTGGTGTTCCCCATATCCGTTTAGTGTTCCCTTAATAGCAGAAGATCGAGTAAAAAGTGTAGTTCAATATTTTAATCGAAAAAATAACG